TTGGGGGAGGGGACCCAGGTGCAGGGACGTCCACAGTGGGGTTGGGGATAGGAGCCAGCCCATGTGGACCCGCAGCTGTGCCTGGTCGATGTCTTCGAGGTGACCCTGTGTGAGGAGGACGCCATGTACGGTTGTCCAGAACTTGCCCCCAGGACACCCTGAACCCGTCCGGTTCTGCCCGTGATTTCCCTGTCACAGGGACCCATGCGGCGTGTCGGTGCGTGGAACGTCAACTTGACTCTCAAGGTGTCATGCCTCGGTGCTGGGCTGTAGGCAGGGGTGAGGCGCTGAGCCCTGCGGGTACCGGGTATTGGGGGAACCTGGAGGAGGTGGTGCCCAGTGAGGAGGCAGGCCCAGGGCCCCGGCACACAGGAGGCATCCAGCCCAGCAGGTCCGTGTGACAAGGGATGTGCTGTGTGCTCGCCATCGGGGAGGGCAGGGGTGCGACTGAGAGTGAGCAGGTGTGCTTTGGGGAGAATGTTCTGGAACCAGACAGGGGGTGGTGCCCAGCATGGGGAGTGTCCCCAACACTTGCCTTAAACACCTTACCAACCGTTACACAGAAGGACCCCACAGGAAGATTATCTAGAAAGGCCACGCCGGGTCCTGGGCTCGGGAAACACCCCTGTCCCTTCCCCTCATGGGTGACATTGGTGACAAGTGGGTCTTCACCCCAGACATGCTTACTGCCCCGGCACAGGAGGCCTGCGGCGAGTGTGTGGACCCCGTGCTGGTTCCCAGAGGTGGGAATGAGACAGCAGTAGCTTCTGTCCCAAACAAGGTGTGAGGGTCCGCAAGGAGACCCCCCCACGGGGCGTGAGGGTCAGCGGGACAAGACACCCCTCATGGGGCATGAGGGGGTCAGGGGGTCGAGACCTTGAGACCCTGCAGGGATGAGGCCTTGGGGCTTCTGGCATCAGTGCAGCCTGGAGGACTGCCTGGAGGAAGCGGCCACAAACAGGGCCTGGTGGACGGAGGTCGGGGGTGCAGGGGAGTCAGCTGTTTCCACAGGCAGCACATGCTTGTTCTTGACACCCCCACCCCAGGAGGCTGCGAGTGTGCCGTGGGTGGGGCCCATCCGGGTGTGGGCAGGTCCCTGCGGACCTTCCAGCCTGTCCAGCTCCAAGAGGCCCGCATACCTCAGCTCACGGCAGAGCCAGTGAGGCTGGGTGTCCTTGTCCACAGCATCCCCCCTGCTCCTCCTCCCTCCGTGTCCACGTCACAGCCCCTGGGACTGCACCCCCACGCCCCCCCTCCCCGGGTGAGGCAGGCCAGTCCCTGCTTTAGCTCAGCCTTTGCAGCGACCTCCAGGCCAGTGCACTGGGGGGCCTGCCATGCACAGGTTCCCGGGGAGCAGTCCCACCTGAGGCAGGATGGGCAGTGGAGCCCAGTGGAGGCCAGATGTCCGAAACCGGCCCGAAGGGAGGGAGGGTCTGGTCGGCAGGCAGCCCAGGTGAGGTCACCGTCAAGGCCCCCAGAGCTCAGAAGCCCAGAGCCCCATTTTATGGGGTCTGTGTGGGGTCCTGGGCTGTGGAGGGGAGCCTGTGGGGTCCTGGGCTGTGGAGAGAACCCCCCCAAGGAGGGGGCTGTGGGCAGGGAGCTGGGTCTCAATGCAGAGAGGGAGGAGAAGCAGAGGCCAGAGGAGGGGGAAGAGATGGGGAGAGAGGAGGAGAGGGAGGAGGGCGGGGAGGGAAGAAGGAGAAGAGAGAGAGAAAAGAGGAGGGTAGGGGAGAGAGGGGGGAGAGAAGAAGCAAAGGAGAGAGGAGGGGAGGAAAGAGAGGAGGAGAGGGAAGGGAGGTAGAGGACAGGGGAGGGGGAGCGGAGAGAGGAGGGCAGGGAACAGAAGCCAGTGGGCTGTGGCTGTCACCGCAATCCCCAGGACCCCTGGCCCCAGAGCACAGGCAGCCACGGGGCTGCAAGGGGGAGGGTGCCTGGCACCCGGTGCAAGGAGGCCACCTTGGAGAGCTCCACCCACACCCTGGGCAGAGCCAGCCCCCTGAGCCCCCAGCCCCACAGTTTAGTCCCGTCTTCCTATGGTCTGGCGGCGTCCCCTCTGGTCCCAATCTCCGGCAGACTTGCCGTGAGGCACATTTGCTGAGCAGACGGGGCTTGGGGGGCGGGGGGCGGAGACAGGACTAGGGTCCCACGTGCTGGGCTCCCAGTCACCTGGGGTCAGCATCTGAGTGGGCCAGTCTGCAGGTGTGCACGTGCCCTGAGTCCCCTGACTGGGGCCGGGACAAGGGCCACTCAGGCCAGATGGCCGGACACTTCAGTACAGGACAGGGTCACTTTGCCGGCCAGTGTGCTCAGAGATCAGAGGTGCCGGCACCCAGGGGTGTGAGGCAATCCGGGCTCTGATGAAAGTCTTATTTGCTCTGGCCCCAGAGTCCAGACCACAGCCAGAGCACGGTCAGACTCTCAGGATGTCCTCCTTTCCCCTATCCCAGCTGCTGACCATCCTGGTGCCTTGTCCCCTGACTGCTGTGTCCCCTGGTCACACTCAGGGTCTTTCTGTCCCCATCCCCCATTCACTGACCCCACGGTCACACTCGGGATGCCCTCAGGATGCCCTCCTGTCCTGTGTGAGGGTCCGGTCCCTGCAGCCTGGGGATGTGAAGACCGGTGGACCCTGGGGCAGTGCTGTCCACGTAAAATTCCTGCTCTGGACTTGAGGATCCCTGGTCTGGACTTGGGGGATCCCTGGTCTGGACTTGGGGATCCCTGCTCTAGATTTGGGGGTCTCTGTTCTGGGCTGGGGGTGTCCTGTTCTGAACTTGGGGCGGTCAATGCTCTGAACTTGGGGATCCCTGGTCTGGATTTGGGGGGACCCTGGTCTGGACTTGGGGGTGGTAGGCTGCTGTCCCCGCGCTGCACCCTGCACCGCCCAGCCGCACCCCCGCACAGCAGGAACTGAGTGTCTGGCCGGCCTCCGCTGCTCCTCCTCCTACTCCCCCTGGGGGCGGTGTTGGGGCAGCCAATGACAGGCAGAGAGCATTTTAGGAAGTGCTGGAGCATCCGCCGCAAGAGGAGGGAGCCTCTGCCGGAAACTCTGGGGGAGCGACTGCGGCCAGCGGTGAGTGCCTCCTGGCTGAGCGCAGGGGTCAGCCCTGGGGACAGCAGGCTGACAGGTGGTCCCAGCCAGGGGCGCCGGTGGGGGGCCAGAAAACAGGGGGTCCAGAGGGTCCTGCGTTGAAGCTATTGCTTCCTCCCAACCCGGCTAGAGGGGCAGCAGGACCCGCCACCAGAATGTCCACTCCAGGCTTGGTGTCCCTGCCCGGCGGGTGGAGGGAACCGGCTGGGGTCAGAGTGGGGCCTGGACCCCCCCCCACCCCGGCTGTGGCCCCAGGGTCCTGAGGGTGGCAGGTGCCCTGGGCACTGACCTAGCTGCCGGGCAGGTGAAGGACTTGTTGGCCCCCGGGGGTCACAGCCAGTCCCTGGGTGCTGGGGCAGGACCTCTGGACAGGCAGTTCAGGGAGGACGGGCTGGTGAAGGAAACTTGGGGAGCCTGGTGAGGAGAAGGAGGCCCAGGGTGTCAGGCGGTTTGCTGGCCACGTGTCCGTCTGTTTACTCACCGGAGAGCTATTTCCTGAGCCTCACCCTGTCACCTGTCACCGTCACCCCGAGAATGAGCCGTGCCACCTCCCGGCACACTCACAGGTGGGAGGCTCTGGTAAATCACCGGCGGGGTCCTGGGCTCTGCAAACCCGCTCTCAGCCCCGTTTTGCGCAATCCCCTCCCCCAGGGCTCGCCTAACGGCAGCCTTGCTCATCCGGGAGGTGGTCCAGCTCGGTGAGGACAACATGGGGGTGCAGGTACCCCCAGGACCTCTCCCAGGTGCGGGAACGGATGGCCATTTCCCGTCTGCTTGGGAACCGCCTCTGTGCGGGGGGCCGTGTGCCTTGTTCTGCAGTTTCTCTGGTGCTCCTCGCGGGGAACAACCCTAATGCCCAAAGAGCACATTTTGAGGGGGATGTGTTCTGTCCCCCATCAGTTTGAAGTTCAGAGAGTCATTTTCCTTGGAGGCAAAATGATGAGCCCCTGGGAGATCCCAGGATCCACCGGAGCCCCCCGGGGCCCTGGAGCCCCGGGGCCACTGGGATGGGGCTGGGCTCCTGTCACTGCTTCAGTTGGGTTTGAAGAGGCCCCTGGGGCGGCAGCTGGGAGAAGCGGGGCCCCAGCCTCTGTTCTCCTAACAAGGATGCAGGGGCTGTGTGTCCCCATCCGGGCTGCCCACACTCCCCGGTGAGGTTCGCCAACACACACTTACAGAATCCTGAGGATGGGGTTACACAATGTCTGATCCGCCTTCATTCCAGACACCTGCGTGGGTGCCGGGCAGGTGGTGGCCCATCCGTGCCTGGATGGCACCTCAAGGAATGGTTCCTGGGTGTGTGTGTGTATGGCACAGCCCAGCCCCTGACCACCCGGACGCCACCTGTGTGAATGTCAGCCTCCCCCCCCAGGAGGCCTGGGGTCCCACACTCACTCCTGCAGGGACACTGTTGACACCAAGTGTGAGCTGAGAGAGTTCTGGGATAGGCCACAAGTGAAGATGGATGGCAGGGGAGCCAGTAGAGTATGTCAAGGACCCTCTTATGGACGAGGTACAGGACCCGTCCTTGTTGCCGTCGAGGCAGAATGAGAACCAGCAGTGTTGGCTTTTGATGTACTAGAGGCATTGTAGACCAAGAGGAAATCTTTTCTACACTCTTAGGTTCTGTGAATGAGACATGCAAACTAAAATGGTGAAAGACGGGGGTGCCTAGCTGGCTCAGTGGGTGGAGCATGCTATTCTTGAATTTAGGGTTGAGAGTTCGAGCCCCATGTTGGGCACAGAGCTTGTCCAAAAAGTAAAATAAAATAAAATAAATAAAACAACAAAAGACAGATGGGCAGGAGAAGAGGTTGATTCTCTATGTGTACAGAGGCCTTCACGGAAAAGAAGTAGATTCACGGAGATAGACTTGTGGGCTTACCTGCCATTTCAACAACGGGTGACACATTTGCGGGGAGGTGACAAGCCAGAGGAAAAGGGGGTTGGCATCATAGCGACAGTCAATTGTGAGAAGGTAAATGCCTGGGGAACACGACGGGGAGGTAAGTGTTCCTTAGTGAGGCTTGTCCAGACTTTCCTGGAGAGAACATTCCTCCCTTTCTTGGTGCAGGGGACAGAGCAGGGATGGCTTCAGGAAAGGAAGTTTATGACGCTTTCAGGCAGAGAGGAGAAAGGCAGGGAGTTTTTCTTGTCTCGGCTTTTTCTCAATCTCCTTCAGCTCAAAGTCATCCTTATGGCAAAGCGGGTTATTTCAGGGAGGCCAGTTCTGACCCCCCCACCCCCCTGCTGTACCGGCAGAGCTCCGACAATGGGAGACTTGGCCAGAGGAAGAGCCACATCCAGACCAGAGGGAACTCGTCCCTACTAGACAGTGGGTCGGAAATGCCTGCGTGGTGGCCGGCTCACTGCGTGATCCCTGTGGGCCCGGGTCTCACACCTCATGTGCTCCTGCTCAGAACCCAGCCCATGACCCAGGGAGAGGACACGAGGGCTGCCACATAGGAATCTGGTGGCAGGGACACAGCTCAGCCCAGGACAGGCTCCTGCAGGGAAACCAGTACATGTCACCTCAGGGCTTGGGGGCAAGGCTCTGTCCCCAAGGATGTCCCCTCTGCGTGGAGGTGGCAGGTCAGGAGGCTGGGCTATGGTGGACGGGCACATGTGGACCAGGGGCAAGGTCTTGCCCACTGGCCCACGGAGCACTGTGGACACGTCCTTGGGGCTCCCATTCCTGTGCCGTTGCTGACCCACGCCCACCCACCTGCTGATGATGAGCGGAGATCATACCTGTGTGTGCTGGGCACACAGCTGGCAGACGCTGGAAGGCAGTGGCTGGGGCTGTAGGTTATGGACCCGTGAGACCCCCTAGCATCCCCTAGCCCAGGGCGTCTCCCTGGTGCCTGCAAGAGAGTGTGCTGGCTTCCTTGTACCAGAGCCTAGCACCCCAGCAGAGGGAGCGGGGCGGGGGGGCGGTGCTCACCTGGGCCCACAGACACCAGCAACCGCAGGATGGAAACTGCGTGGGCTCTGCAGGCTGCTGTGTGAGCCCCTTCCCACTGCCCGGAGCTGGGTCCCCTCGGTTGACCTCTGCAAAACTTTGTTTCCTTCCTCAGGTTGCACAGGGTGGCCTCCAATGGGCGGACAGGTGAGCACTTCCGACAGCTTCCAGAGCCTGCCGTGCACCACAAATGCGGACTGGATGTCGGCACTGTGCCCAGTGCTCTGGGACGTGCCCCTCCACCAGCTCTCCATCCCAGGTGAGGGCCTCCACGTCCCCGGCGGGGAAGCTGCCGCCATGGGATGGGGCTCGGGTGTGGGGAGACCGCATGGAGCACATACATGGATATATGCAGTATTGACAGACACGTGTGCACATGCAGTGCATACACACACACATGCTACAGGTACAGATGTGTGCATGAACTTGCACACGCATGCACACAATACAGGCAGGCATGCACACACGCACACATTATAGGTACAGATGTGTGCGCAAACTTGCACCAGCATGCACACAATACAGACGCTTGCACACACGCATACATTACAGGTACAGATGTGTGTGAGAACTTGCACATACATGCACACAAGACAGGGAGGCGTGCACACACGTACACGGTACAGGTACAGATGTGTGTGTGAACTTGCACACGCATGCACACAATAAAGACGCTTGCACACACGCATACATTACAGGTACAGATGTGTGTGAACTTGCACACACATGCACACAAGACAGGCAGGGGTGCACACACGCACACGTTACAGGTACAGATGTTTGCACAAACTTGCACACGCATGCAGACAATACAGACGCTTGCACACATGCATACATTACAGGTACAGATGTGTGTGTGTGAACTTGCACACACATGCACACAAGACAGGCACAAACATATGCATGCACATACAATAAGGCACACACGTACACAGACATGCACTGCGTGAGTGTTCTCCCTTCTCCTTCTCTAACGCAGCCCAGCAGGCACATGCAGACCCCAGGGAAGTGTGGCTTCGTGACAGCATAGGGATTTGGGGTAAAGCGTCCCTGCCGGTCTGTCCCTCCGCGGAGCGAACGCACTGGTTTCTCACAGATGCGTTCACCACTCCCCATCCGCCGCGCTGGGTGTCTCCTGCATTTCGAGCCTGGAGGGTCCCAAGTGGGTCCGACCCACAAAGAGATCACTCTGAGCACGTCGGGGACCGTGTGATCCAATGACCTGGTGGCCCTGAGTCAGGTCTGCTGCGTTCCGCCGGGGCCCTTGGGGCACGGGGGGCAGTGGGAGCCGTGGCCGCAGCTCTGCACTGATGAGTGCGCGGGCATTGCCAGTCTTCCGTGTTTGCAGAAAAGAAGCGTGGCGGGTCCCACCATGTGTCTCCACGGCCACGGCCACGCGGTAGCAGGAATTCCTCCCTCAAAAGCGGCAGATTTCTCAGCTGGGTGGATTTTCGCCGTTTTTGATGTTTTTCTATAGTTTCATATGTACCTGTGGTTTTCTTCGGGAGTTGTAGGACTTCTTCTTTCTTTAAAAGATGTACTAATTTGAGGGCAAGTGCCAGTGGGGGGTTGGGGAGAGGCAGAGGGAGAGAATCCCAAGCAGAGCTCAGAGCTCTGAGGCTCGATCTCAGGATCCCGAGATCATGATCTGAGCCCAAAAGGAAGGCTGATGCTTAACCGACTGACCGCGCAGGTGCCCCCGGACTTTCATGACTTTTTAAGGAACGTGCATACCCAGTTTATCTGGTTCATGGGATGGGGCAGAAGACAGTCTGCGTATTTCCCAGACGGCTGCCTGTGGTCCCGTCAGCGGGACTCCCACCGAGGCCAGAGTCCCTGGCTTGAATGACTTCACAGATGAGAGAGCCCCTGGGGGTCAGGCTGTGTCCCTGCACAAACCCAGTTGTAGGCACTGGCCGGTGCCCTGGAAATTCACGTCCCCCTGCCACGAGTCTTGGAATGGGGCCTTTTGTGGAAATGGGGTCTTTGCAGGTGTGATGAAGGGAAGGATGTGAGAGGAGCTCATCCTGGATCGGGCCGGTCCTGAATGCAGCGACAGGGGTCCTCGTAAGACACAGAGGAGGAGACGTAGACACCGAGAAGCTAACCCCAACCCGGCCTCCCCAACATGCTGGAGGACAGCTGTGGCCCTGCGTGTACTTCCTGGTGACCCGAGTCACTGGTGTCTCCCCTCCCCCCTGCCGGGGGGGGCTGTTTTCCTGGTGGGGGCATGTTTTCTGTGGATCCCAAGTGCTCTGCATGCAGTCAAGATGGGGTTTGGGGGTAGGTGTCCTGGGGATCAGCAGAGAGTCATTCTGGGAGGTGCAAAGGGACCAAGGGCCCAGAGGTGTGCCCGTCCTGGGGTTCCATCCCCTGGGCGCCCCTCAGAACATGTGGCCTCCACAGAAGGTGTGTGCCCTCCCTTAGAGGGCAGATGTGGGGGTCCACAGCTGTGAGGAGCAGGGGACGGCCCAGTGCTGCTGGGGAGGAGCTGCTAGACCCAAAGGCACCACTAGTCTGGGTGGCTGTGGGAGTGTCCCCGGGCTCCTTTAACGAAGGACCACAACCTGGGTCGTTCCTTGTCACACACGGCTGTGACCTCACAGCTCTGGGGCCCAGAACTGGGCATGTTCTGACCTCTGAGTGCCTGTGGGGCCAGCTCCTTCTGGAGGCTCTAGGGAGACTCCGTTTCTCTGCTCTGTCCGGCTTCACGGGGCCCCTTCCTCTACCTCGAAGCCCGCAACGTCCCTTCTGCTACTGTCCTCTGACTCTGACCAATCTCCCTGTTATGAGGTCCCTCAAGGCAAGATCGGGCCACCGGGTTATCCAAGAAGATCTCCCGCTCAACACTCGAAACTGGTCTGCAAATTGCCTTCTGCCGTGTGGGATGACACGTCCCCCCTCCAGGGGCTTTGGGGGGAACCTCTTGGAGGGTGTGCCCACCGTGTGGGCATTTGGACAAACGCGTCTTGGGGATGTGTTTGGGATGTTAGTTAGCCCAGCTTGGGGACATCCCACCGTTTCTGGTCCTGTGCTCCTCGTAACTTTTTCACTGGGGATCGTGTCCACGTGTCCCAACAGAACTCCGTGTTTTCATCGTGCACGAAAATCGGCCAACATCCAGGGATACCGTGGATGGGACACAGGACACGGGAATCTGGCCTGATTTGTGCTGTTAGCCGCGTGCCGGCTAGACCCGCTCGTCCCCTGACCGGGACGCCTCCTTACAGAAACTGGAGCTGGTCTGATTGCATCCCTCTCTGAAAACGGGACTGCGATCCGTTGTCGAGTGGGTCCCCAACAGTGTGTTGTGCTGGGTTTCTTTCTTTCCAGACCTCATTCCTATATAACACACATCCATTAGCACCTCGTAGAAAAAGTCCCCCTTTCTTACTCTGCTTTACAGAGGTTTCTGGGAAACCTTAAACTTTTTTTGGTGTGGACGCCTCCGGGAGCCAGGAGCACATCCCAGGCTCTGTGGGTAGATGGCCCGCTTTGCACAGGGCTGTCCCCACAGTGATGACTGGGGTCCTCCACCAGGGAGGTCCCTGGGGTCCCAGCGCTCGTCCTCTGCGTCCGTTTCCGCTCCTCTGTCTCGTATAAGGACCCCTGCCCCTGGATTGAGGCCCCTTGGCTCTGGATGACCCTCCGTGCACTCTGCAGCCGTCCGGTGGGCGTGCATCTTGGGCGACGACCGGTCACGCCTGACGCTGTGTGTTCCCCACGTGCCCTCGGAGCACACAGCCCAGGAGGCCGCGCGTGCAATGTCCCCTGGTGTCTGCTTGCAGGAAGCCATGACACCATGACCTACTGCCTGAACAAGACATCGCCCATCTCCCAGACCCAGTCCCGGCTGCTGCAGCTCCTGGGCAAGGTCCTACCCTGCATCACCCGCCCCGTGGTGCTCCGGTGGTCCACCACCCAGGTACTGGTCAGCAGCGGGGTGACCCGCGTCCTCCCAGCAGCGAGGTGCCCTGATCCCTGTGAGTGGGGGGAGTGGAGTGGAAACGGGACCCCGCACCCGCCCAGCAGACATGCACAATCCACATGACCCCCACAGCCCAGGTGTCAAGACCGGGTGGGGGGTCTGCAGTTTGGGAGGTGGGTGGGGCGGGAGGCTGGAGGCCAGCATCTTCTGCCTCCAGGTGACCTTGAAGAGCCCTCAGTCCTGGGAAACACCCCCGAGCTGTGCGGGTGTCCCGAGGTTTCTTTGGAGATTTGCTCGCCTGTGAAAAGGATGACACAGAATGGCAATGACCAGTTTCTGTAGGGAATGACAGGGGACAGGCGGGGGCGGGGGGGCAGTGTGTGCCGGGAAGGGCAGGGTGTGTGTGCAGGGAAAGGCCTAAAGGTGGACTGTGCAGGGAAGGGGAGGGAGAGGGTGTCCTGTCCCTCCATCAACCTGTCCTCTCAATTTAGGGTTGGCTCCATCCTCGCTGTCCAGCCTTTGTCTCCTGGGGTCTCCTCGTGGGGGAGGGGTGCAGAGGAAGGTCAGGGTGACCTGGGGTGTCCTCGTGCTGGGGGACGTGCTGGAGAAGATCAGGGGACCCAGTCTGTCCTCTTGGGGTACAGGCAGCTGGCTTTGGGGCTGACACCAGCAGAGCCTTAGCCAGCAAGCGGGGGAGGGTTGCCGGCGTGATGGGGGCGCCCGGGTGGGGACAGCAGAGCAGCAGAGCAGGGGCACCCACCCGGAGAGCAGCTCATCCCTCACTTCCCCCTGGGGCAGGGCTCAGGGGTCTGTGTTTTCTGGTTCCAGGCTCTCAGGCTCCATGGTCCCCCCGCACCCCCCCACCCCCACCCCCAGGCTCTGACCTTTGTAATTGCTGGGCTGTGGGAACTTCAGGCCCAAGGACAACATTAACCCTTCCCGCCTGTGGGTCTGGGTCTGGAATGCGGAGAAACCACATTCCTGACTGGTTCTTCAGGTGCCTCCCCAGGCGGAGGTGAGAGGCCTTCTCCCTGTGGGCAGGAGAGCGGGTTCACTGCAACCAGGGAAACCCTGTGGTGCCCAGGTCCCTTGGTGCTGGGGGCCATAGTGCCAGGGTCCCTCAGTGCCGGGATCCCTCGGTGCCGGAGTTCCTCGGTCCTGGGGTCCTTCGGTGCCGGGGAACAACTATGGGGTGGGCTATGAGGACGTCTACGGTGTGCTGCCGGGCAGATGCTGTTGAAAGGGCAGGATCCGTCAGGCGGTCCCATGCAGGACATAACCAGCCACGCTTGCACACTGGCAGCAGACATGGGGGGGTCAGTGGACCCTGTCATGGTGCGTCCCCATGCTGGGAAGTGTGCACACAGTGGGTGCTTTGGCACAGAATGTCCCATGACCATAGAGCTGAGCATCCTCAGGGAGACAGGACAGGGGAGGGGGCATGATTTAGCTTCTGGGGCACAGACACGGAGGGGCAAACAGGGAGGAGGGCTGCTCGGTGCTCCTCTGGGGCCTCTCTGCCCCGTGGCTGGCCGGTTGTGTCCCCCGACACGTTGGGGGAACACGTTGCTGTCCTCTCCAGAGTTTGCTGTTTTCCAAACATTACGACAAGGAGCCCCTAGTTACTGTCTAAAAATACAGCTCAAGTGCCTGAAGGGATATTTTGGGGAGACAACGGTCTGTTTCCTCAGTTCCCTGCAGCCAGCACATCCGCTGAGACGGCAGTGGGATCACAAGCCTGGGCACAGCGGCTGGGAGACCCGGGGGTCACCGAGGGAGGACTTGCCCGTCCCCTGGGAGTCGCAGGCAAGGCTGAATTCCCCTGCCCAGACTCTAGGCCTCCTGAGAACTCGGGGTCTCTGCGCAAAGCCCCACCCCAAGCGCCCAGGTCCCTCCAGGGTGCTTGTGCATGGAGGTGGCCTGGGGCTGCGGCGTGGCGCGCCACCTGGCTGGGTCCAGCGTGCACACAGGCCTCCGTGTGGTCTCCCCAACCTCAGTTTCCCAATCTGAGGGGGACTAGCAAGAGGAATGCAAGTTCCCCGCAAGGCCACCCAGGGCGTAAATGCTATTTCCGTGGAAATTCGTGCCTTTTCCCATATGACATTGCCAGGAAGGGGACAGCCTTTTCTTCCCTTGACCGTCTGTGGATTCCTTCTTGCCTTTCCTGGTGCTGTCGGTGGGGTGCGGGACCGCGGCCACTGTAGCGGATTCCCCGCCACGGTGCATCCTGACCCGCACCCCACTCTGAGCATCCAGGTGGGGCTCACGGAACCAGCCCAGTGCTACTGAGGCCCAGAGAGGCTTCCTTCCTGACGACAGCCTGGGAAGGGAGGGAAGCAGGACCCTGCGGGATGTCTGGAAGCCAGCCTCGCTCCGTGGCTGTCCGTGGCCAGTGTCTCCAGGAAAGCATGTTCCTGAAGGCAGGGTCCCCGTGGCTTCCCCAGCCGCGGCAGGCACCAACACCTACTGACGGGATATCCTACCACGTGACTCAGGGCCGGGCTGCTCCAACACTACTCTGAGCCCGTGATGCAGGCCGTGGGCCGAGGCAGGGACCACGCAGTCCCTGGCGGTGACCACGGCTGTTTGTCCGCAGGTGCTGGGTGTCACGGAGCAGCTAGACGCGGGTGTGCGGTACCTGGACCTGCGGATCGCACACATGCATGACGGCTCCGAGAAGAACCTGCACTTTGTGCACATGGTGTACACGACGGCGCTGGTGGAGGTGCGGGGGCGTGCGGGGCGTGCGCGACGGCGCTGGTGAAGATGCGGGGGTGCGTGGGGTGTACATGAGGGCATTGGTAGACGTATGGGGGCTCGGTGGGGCGTACATGAGGGCGCTGATGGAGGCATGCGGGCTTGGCGGGGACAGCTTCCGCCGCGGGGCACACCCGTGACCTCAGCACGCGGGAGAAAGCCGGCCTCCGGGACTCGTGGCCGGGCGCCTTTCTGAGCTTGCGCCCAGGCTCCTGGGTCCTCTAGTGCATCTGGGACTTTGCCAAAGTGGGGCCCCGTGTCTGCCCACCTTTGGTTCGTGGTGTCTTCCATCTCCTCCGGCCAAGACCACATCTAAGTAGGACGTCTCACCATCGGGCGTCACCCCTGCTTGGGGCAGCCCATCCCCCGCCGCGAGCCCTCCAGTGTCAGTGCAGTCAGGAGACACTGTCGGGGGACCACGGTCTACGGGCCACTGGCTGGCCTAGGCGGGCCCCTGGCACTTGCAGACGTCACACCTCAGTGCCCTCCAAGTGAGCACGCAGACACGTAGTCACACACATGCACACGCGTGCACAAGCACGCCCACGCGTATGCTTCTGCCCCCAGAGCAATGGGGCAGTGGCCCGGCTGTCTGCCGCACGTCTGCGTTCGTGCGGGACCCAGCCCCCTCGTCCAGTGAGCTCTGTCCGGAGCAGCCCCCTTGGACCCGCGGGAGCGTCCTCCAGCGCCCCGGCCTCTCTCGGTAAGGTGTGAAACAGCTGCTCTGTCCCCTGTGCAGGACACGCTCACGGAGATCTCTGAGTGGCTGGAGAGCCACCCCCGGGAGGTGGTCATCCTAGCGTGCAGGGACTTCGAGGGCATGACGGACGGCCTGCATGAGTACCTGGTCGCCTGCATCAGGAACATCTTTGGGGACATGCTGTGTCCGCGAGGGGTGAGGAGGGCCCCTGGGGCCGGGGGGTGGGCCGGGATTGGGAGGGTAGGCTTACCTGCTGGTTCTGCTGTGCATGATTCTGGGAGAAGTCTGCTGCGGCCTGAGGCTCCGGTCCTCTGGATGTCCTGAGAGGAGAAAGACCCCACTCGTCCTGTGCAGAGTGCAGCCTGCCGGAGTCCCCCGCGCTGCCCGGGCATAGGAGGGCCACTTCCTTTGCACCTCAGGTCACACTCAGCACCGTTGATGCCCCAGCACCACTGTCTCAGACGCCCCGGTCCCCCAGCACCACTGTCTCTCTGACGCCCCGGTCCCCCAGCACCACTGTCTCTCTGACGTCCCGGTCCCCCAGCACCACTGTCTCTGACAACCTGGTCCCCCACCATCAGCGTCACTCAGAACCCAGATCCCCCACCATCAGTGTCTCTCACCGCCATCCCCCTCCCCTCTAGGAGGTGCCGACACTGAACCAGATGTGGTCATGCGGCCAGCAGGTCATTCTGTCCTACGAGGAGGACAGCGTTGTGAACCGGCACGTGGAGCTGTGGCCTGGGATCCCCTACTGGTGGGGCGACCAGGTGAAACCCCAGGAGCTCATCCGCTACCTGGAAAGCATGAAGAGCTGCGGCCGCCCAGGTAAGCACTCCCTGTCCACTCATGGGACCCCACCCTGCAGCCAGGTCACACACTGGCTTGCTTCTGGCTCTCAGGAAAGAAGTTTGGACGTCGTCTCTTTTGTGTGTGTGTGTGCATAACATAGTCGCACGCGTGTGGGTGTGTGCACGTGTGTATAAGTGCATGCATGCACACAGAGGCAGATATGTGGATAACACGGGTACTCGTGCTTGTGGGTGTGTACACGCATGTGTATGTGCACTTGTGTGTACGTGGATGCAGAAGTATGCATAACATGGACACGTTGCAGTAAGTGTGCGCACGTGTGTGTGCGTAGACAGACATGCAGATAAGTGCATGACGCACACATGTGCGTGGGTGTGTGCAAGTGCGTGTGGGTGTGTGCGCACGCATGCAAATGTGCATGCACGCACACAGACCCAGATATGTGCACAACATGCATGCACACACGTGTGGGCACGCAATGTGTGTGTGCACAGGGATGCACGCAGATGCAGACACACATAACGGATGCACGTGTGTGGGTGTGCACACGTGTACGCACGTGTATGTGTGCAGATGTAGATACATGCACATGGATAAACGTGGGTGTGCGCAGACGTGTGCGTGCACGTGGGTGTGGACAAGTGCATACATACAGACGTGCACACACTTCCTCATGACGCGTGTGTGCACGCACGTGCACACGTGTGGTGTCCATGCTGAGGTGCGTGTCGTGTCCACAGGCTGCAGAGGGCTCTGCTGTGCAGGTGTGGCTCCGGCGTCCTGCACCGCCGTGGGACCGACACGCACCCCGTGCAGCGTACCGTGCTCACACACAGACGCGCTGTGCACGGTTGAGTGCAAAAGAGCCAGGACAGAGTGGCTGGTGGCTGCTGACTGTCCGTGTAGCGGGCGCTTGCTGGGGGTACGGGCATGGGCTGGTGGACCCTCCAGCCGCCCTGTGTAGTGGGGGTGTGGTTGCTTTATTTGAGGGCGAGGCGTGAGGAACGCCCACGTCCCGCAGCGGCATGTCCGCTGTCTTTGCCTCCCCGTGTCCGAGCTGTCTGTCCGTCTCTGTGACTGCATCCCTGTCCCTCGGTCTTTGTCCAGTTTCCCATCTCACTTTGGTTCAGTGCTTCCTTGTACAATGGCTGCGCGGAGTCCCCCTGCCAGAGGTGACAGGGTTCTCCGCGTGGAACCCCCTAGGCGGCCCGCGTGGCACGCCGGCCGTGCTGCCAGTGGAGGGCCCCCAGGCGCTCACCCCTCGCACACTCAGTCCACCGTGCCCCATCGGGCGGCGGGTCCGAGGGCGTGCCCTACCTCCGGCTCAGACTGGGCTGGTGCAGGGCCCATGTGCTCATGTGAACTCCTTCTTGTGGCAATGCCCTCAGGGCCATGTGTTTCCACGGGGGCCCTGTGGTCTGAGGGCTTCGTGAGGCTGCTTTTGCCCAACACGCTGCAGACCAGCCCTGCTCACGGCTGTGGCAGAGGCCCCTGGGCTTGGTGGCACCCAATGGCTTGAAGAAAGGGACCTTTTCCTGGTTGTGGAGACCACAGCTTTCCTGTTTCCTATCCGTTGTCAAGGGTATGTGGCTGTGCCAGGGGAGACTCTGAGCACCCCGGCCGTGTTGTTCCGTGTCCTGTTCTGCGCTAGTGGCCGGTGACGCAGTGTGGTCGTGGGTCCCGGTCGGCACTCAGGGACTGGGTCCCTGAGTCAGCTCCATCGACGGCCGTGTTCGGAACCGGCAGAGCCGTGAGTGCGGACAGACTCGCAGGGGTGACACGTGTGCCAAGCTATGCCACATGCTTCTGGCAGCCGGCTCCGTGCGCCTTTCCACAGAAGGCAGCTCGTTTCACGCCCAGACGCCGCACTGACCGCTGGCTTCCTGGTGTGCTCCGTGGCCTGTTGTTACGGAGCAGACTCCTGCGTGGGGTGCCCCTTTGACGCGTGCCGTGGAGAAGGTCTGTGTGTTTCCAAGGACACGGGGGTGCGACTGGGGGGCACCGTTCTAGCCCCAAACCTGGCTGAGCCTGGGCTCCCACTTGGTGCTAGTCCCACAGTGTTTGAAAAGCTCTGGGTGGATGCAGCCCGGCATTCGTGGTACGTGTGTGGGTACGCTGACGGTCCCTCTGCACAACAGAATACGGATTCTGCACGGAGAGGACACGTGGTGCCGTGTGGACGGACCACGGAAGCATGGTGGTGGGTGAGGGAAGCCCATACCCACGGCCACATCGGCTGTGCGGGGGCACAGAGAACGGGAGCTCGTGGGAACAGGGCCTCCTTTGGGGGGATGAGAACGTTCTGGAACCAGACAGCGGTAGTTGCACAGCCACGTGAATGTGCCACACGCTGCCGGATCACTCTGTTTCCAGTACTGAACGCGGCACCTTGTGACTTTCCCCTCCACGTTGAAGGAAGGAAGCTGGTGGGGGGCAGAGGGGGGCGTCACGCAACCGCTGCTGAGAACCACAGTTGTCTTTGCCTCGGGGCCAGGGAGCTCAGCTGCGGAGGCCTCCCCACGCCAACATGAGAGGGAACGTGTACAGGGGCCTCTGCTGCGGCCCTCCGTGGACCTCCCATGCGCCCACCGCTCACGTGGCTCCGAGCCCATATGGGGCTCCAGCTCTCACGTGGCGCCTACTGTTCCCACGGCTCTGAGGGCTCACATGGCTCCAAGGGCTCTGAGATGTGACTCCATCCACCACACAGAGGTTGTTGGGACATGGACACCTTTGGGGACATTATCCTGTCCACCACGTGGGGGTTGGGACGTGGATGTCTCTGGGGACATGCTTCTATCCACCACGTGGGGGTCGGGCCGTCCAAACCTCTGGGAGGTGCTTCCGTCCACTCTTCGGGGACAGGAGCACTGCACTGACGCGGACACGTGTGTCCTTCTGCCGCTGGAACTCTCCAACTCTACTGATGACAAGTGGGAGGGGAATGGGGTGGGCCGGCGGGGCGTGAGGCGGGCGTCCGCAACCCCGCGTACCCCTCTCTCCTTCCTGTTTCAGACGGGCTGTTCGTGGCGGGCATCAACCTGACGGAGAACCTGGCGTACGTCCTCGGGCACCCGACCGAGTCCCTCAGGAAGATGACACTCCCCAGCCTGCCGTACCTCCGTGCGTGGGTCCGGGAGCAGTGCCCGGGGCCGGGCGCTCAGTGCACCAACATCATAGCGGGTGACTTCATCGGGGCGGACACGTTCGTGGGCGACGTCATAAGACTCAACGAGAAGTTGCTTCGATGCTGACCCCTTCTGTAGCTCCCGTGGGGTGCGGGCGGGCAGCATGGACCCGGGGCGGGCTCCCTGCCTCCCCCTGATGTCAGGGCATCCCCGGGGGTGGCCCCGGGCCTCCCAGGTCTTTGGCGTTCCTGGGAGGATTCACAGAACACGCTCACGGTCCACAGTGCTGTGTGCTCGCAACTGAGAGGACGGACGGCCCAGAACCCTGGGTCTGCTTGAGGTTCAACCCAGGCGGGGCCATGGCCGCCGTGGGGCGTCCCTTCCCCTGGGGCCTCGAGGGCAGCAGGAGGACGTCCTCATGGCTTCCAGCAGCCGCGTGAAGCCTCGTCATACCATGTGTGTTGGGTAGGACTGGGCGCACCGGAATCCCAGTGAGAAAACCACGGACACGGAGAAACCTCCTTCTCATTCTGATGACATCACGGCCTGTGTGTCTCCCCGAGCACCGTGGGCCCTGGGGGCTGGTTTCACTTTGGCTTCTGTGATGGTAACGGAAGGCCCGTGAGGGGCCGTCTGATGGCGAGGGCTGCTGCGCACACTCCCTCCCCCTTCCCAGAGGCCTCCCGTAGCACCGTCTTCGTGGCGGGACGGGGACATGGGTGTGACCGGCAGGTGTGCCCACGCCGGGGGCTGCCGTGGCGTCCTCGTCCTCGCAACCAGCCCCGGAGCGGCCAGTCTGTGCTGCTCCGACCTCCTGCCGGAGGACCCCGGACCCCTCGCGCTGCCCAGTGCGTCAGCCCCGCTGGGAGGTGCCCTCAACCGTCCCCGAACTTGAGCTTCCTGGTCCCGTCTCTGGTTTCGGCGCCTGTCACTGTTCCCGTCTCCTAGAGCCACGCTGGGCATTTGTCACTGTTCCCGTATCCCCGTTCCATGGTTTCTCAAGGTCTGTTTCCACCGCGCTCACCGCGACCAAGACGTTCCCTGTATCGACTCATTTCTCTGTCCCGAGGCTCTGCGTTTGGGGGCCTTGTGGACGGCGGTGAGGCGGCCCCTGTCCGGGCTAGCGGATCCCCGCAGACGAACGGCGGACGTGGGAGCACATGTCTTCCCCGGAAGAGAAGCGCCCCGTCCTCCTTCGCTCACGCGCCGCACGGATGGGGGCGCGCGGAGCTCACAGGCGAACCGACTCGCCCGCTCCTTGGACGCAGGGCGGGCTTCGCTCCCGCGAAATCCCAATAAAGCGAGTCAGATGAGTCCTCTGCTTGCCCGTGCCCATGCCCGTGCCGTTCACGCGGCCGTCTGTGAAGCGTGCGACCCCGCGATCCCTACAGAAGGTGTCCGTGCGCCTCCATTCAAACACACATTGTTGGTTACAACGCCCGCCACTGCCAGAGCTGTCGGGCAGCCCTCCCCGCGGGCCACAGGCCACGCAACGAACACCGTCACGACGACAGGGTCCGCAGCAGTGCCTGATCCCCAGAGGGGGACGCAGGGACTGGAGGTGAGCGGACGCTGCTGGGAAGATGGCGCCGCAGCCCTGGCCCAGCTTGTTTGTAGGACGGTCTGGCTCTGGGGACCACGGTGGGGCGAGGCGTGCCTGATTTCCCGCCGTCCTGGCGCCCCGGGACGGGGGCCTGTCGCCCAGAGCCCACCACCGGTTTTCACGCTGGACAGCCTGCCCCGTGAACTCTCCCATCTTCCTTCCCCGCGGAAACCCCAGGGCCTTGTGTGGAGCCTGGGCTTTCCCTGCGACCCCATGGGGCACTCGCCCTTCTCTTGGGACAGGGGAGTACGTGGTTGACCTGCATGAGGTAAAACCCTGGGGTCCGGGTGAGACCCATCCTCTCCCCTCCACGGGCGGTCAGGCCTCGTGTTAGAGGCTTCACTGTTTCCCGGGACCCAGGGCTCCAACGTCATGACCCCAAAGGTTACAGAAGTCTGTCCTTTGCACGTGAGGTTTAGGAAGCTGGCGGTTTCAGATTCTCAGCCAAACGGAGAATCCCAGTCTCCGGTCTTATTTCTCTTCCCTACAAACAGGGACTCTGGGAGCTCCTGGAGTATCGTGTTCTGGAACATTCCTCCGACGACGAAAGAGCCCAAGGCATTCTGTCTTCTTAGGATACCGTCTTCAACAATGATGCTTTAATCCGGGTCTGAATGTGTTCTCTTTAGGATGAAATCAGGCCTTTTCCAGATCTGGTTCTGTTTGGTGAGTGGATGCCGCGATTTCCGGGCCGTGTCGGCAATCCAGAAGACCCTCGGGGAGCCCTGCGGGCTGCCCCCAACTCCACGGGCTGGACAGAGCTCCATGGTCTGGGGATCCCCCAATGTGAGCCTCACACCGTCTCTGTCCTCCCCCCAAACCTGTGGCCCTCCCTCCCAGACCCCAGAAGCCCCCCGCCCCTCCAGGCTCCCAGAAGGCCCCCACCCCTCCCTCCCGGACCCTGGAAGCCCCCCGACTCTCCCAGGCCCCTGGAAGCCCTTCGATGCTCCCTCCCAGGCCCGTGAAGCCCCCTGACTGTCCTCCCAGGTGCCTCCACGGCTCCCACCCTCTGCTGCATGCCCCCTGGAGCCCCAGCCCCTCATCACGCCCCCCTTCACTAAGCATCCACAGCGGATGTCAGGACTCTGCAGTCTCCAGGCCTTGGGGTAGGGACACCAGGCGGGGGCGGGTACGCCAGAAGGAGAGTGAGGGACAGAGGCCTGACCCCACGTGCACCCCTTCTCCTGCATAGGGAGGAATTGGGATGGAGCAGCCAGAGCCCAGGGGTGGGGCCTGGAGGCACGTGTGCGCCCCCGACATAGTACCCGGGTAGAATGCATGGCTGCGGGGGTTCGGGGTAGAGCGAGGCACATTCCTAGGGGCATGTGGACTGGGCTGCGCCTTGGGAGCTGGGGTGGCCCATGCAGGAGCTTTGCTGCCCCCCAGGGTCTCTTCAGAGACCCCGTAGCACCCAACCGCCCAGGGGCTGAGCCGAGTAAAGCGTAAAGCCGGGTGGGTCTCGACGGGTCAGCCGTCCAAGGGCAGCAGCTGTCCTGATGCCCCAAGCACACCTGGGCTGTCCTGGAGCCCGACCTGGCCACGGGGCCGGCCAGGACCATGCGCTGGCGTGCCCTCTCCGTCCACCACCCTGGCCAGTGCAAGGGGATCTCGTGCTCCCCTAATCTGCGTCACCGGCCCCGACGATGGCCGTGCAGGAGGACCCTCACACCACCCTGTCCACCGTGCAGTCCCGGCCGCACCGCGGGACCTCATCTCAGCCGCACACTCAGCCCTCGGGGCCCCCGTGGGAAGAACAGGAGAGGCCGTCCCAGCACACCGCCAGCACGCGGGGCGCTGTCGTCCGGTCCCGCCCGTCCACGCCGCAGGACCCCGCACATGCGAGCGTCCCGGAGCCGCTGGACAGACGAGCACACGTGCTGACTTCAGAGCACACACATGTATTCTCCTAACGGTTCCGCGGGCCAGCACGCTGACGTGGGTCTCACGGGGCCCACGTCAGGGGCTGGGACCTCCGGGTGGGGACCCAGCTCCCAAGCTCCCCGTGCTCCCTGCTGTCCCCGACTGCCGGCGGCCCCTCCGTCTTCCACGCCAGCACTGCGGCGATCTGCTTCCCCAGGCTGTCTTCTCATCTCACGCCTGAGCGAGGAGAGCGCTCCCCCGTCCGTAGGAAGGCCCTCCGCCGCCCTGCAGACCCCCAGGCAGGCTGCAGGTGTTTTTTCCTTAATCCCTGAGTTCCGAAATCCGGAATCACTCCCACAACACCGCTGTAACGGTGAACACACGTCAAAGGGGGAAACCAAGCAAGACAGCGTCCCGGGCGGCGACAGGGTGGCCGTTGACATCACTGTTCCCTCCAGAGAACGGGGAACAGCACCGGGCTCGGGGCCCCTGCAATGTCCGCGGACGTCTCTCCCAGCAGAGGGACCTGCGTCCTGTCCTGTGTCCCGGGACCTTCGGTGAAGACAGCCCCAGTCCCTGACGGACTAGGGAAAGGCGTGGTCCCTCCAGCCTGGCCCGTCCCAGCCGGCTGTCCCCAGCCGGCTGCGGGCGAGCGCGGAGCACCCCCGCTCCGTGCTGATTCAAGGACGCGCCGTGTTTTCCCACGACCCGTGCCAAGAGGCTCCCGGCCGCCGGGAGGCCGTCAGGACGTCCAGGGCACTCCGCAGGGAGCAGCGAGGCCTGGCTGCTCAGTCTGCGACCCACGGCGGACGGGGAAGCCGCCACCGGCCCCTCACGGCCGCCACGGGCGGGACGTCCTCCTGCAGGGTGGCCCACACGTGGAAGCAGCAGAGGGACCGTGTCCTGCGGCCGGAACCCTGCGGGAGGCACGTCCGCTCTCACAAGGCACGCGCGGTCCGCCAGCAGGAGCCGCTCAGTCCGCCGGCAAGCCGACCTTGGAGTTCCGGCCGCCGGCCCTTCCTCCCGGAGCGGCCACGGAGGGGGCGGGCAGGAGGCCCAGAGACGGCGGCGGACACGACGTCCATTCACTCGGGAAAGAGCTTCCTGAACTTGCCGTAGGCGGACTTGCTGATGACGACGGTGACGTCGGCCACTCCGGCCTCGGGAATCACGTCCACGTCCTGCACGGTGGCCTCCCGATGCAGCCAGCTGCGGGTGTGCGTGAGGGCAACGCCGCGTAAGGACGCGTGAGCGGAAAGTACGCCGAGAGTTCCGTCCCCGGGCCGCCCACAGCCTCGTCGCCCCCGCCCGCGGCCTGGCAACGGCCTGGCCACGGCCTGCCCACCAACAGCTGGCTGGCCCCGCACGTGGGCTGATGCACCCAGGTTCGCAGTGGGCGACCTCGGAAACCACATGCTCCTCTGCGTGCTGGTGCCGGGCCCACTCCGTCGCCTTTCCCACACCTGCACCCCCCGCACAGTCACGGCCACGGCCCCGGCCGCTCCCCCGCCAGGCCAGGCCCACGCACCTCAGCTGTGTGCCCGCCAGCCGGACCCGCAGGGTGAGGACCTGTCTCCCCGTGGCTCTACGGATGGCGTCCTCCAGCCGCGCCTTCAGCTCTGGGAGCCCGTGCCCCAGGAGGGCGGACACGGCCACAGCCTGGGGTTCCGCCGGGCTATACCTGGATGAGGGCAGCCCCAGACTCAGCTCAGCCTCGGAGAGATAGAGTGAGGGTCCCCCGGGGACGCCGCCCCCCCGAGCTCCCACCGGGACCACCTCCGTGTGCGTCAGGATGTCAGACGGGAACACCATGGAAACCATGATAACGGTTCCAGGAAACACGGGGTCCATGGGGGTGAGGGGACTCAGAACAGAAGACCCCGAAATGGCCGGTCTGGTGGCCTGTGACTGCTTGCGTGTGAAAGCCCTTCACAGCAGGCAGGTGGGAGAAGGGCGCTCTGACCCCCCTTGTCATCCTGAGAGCAGGGGGGACGCGCCCCGGGAGGACGAACGCAGCCTGATCTTGTCAGTCACGGCGCGGCCCCCGTCACACAGGTGCCCACTGGCACCGCCAGGCATGAGGCTCCGGGGTCATGGGGCCGTGGGGCTGTGGGTTCGTGGGGTCATGGGGTCGTGGGTGGGCCGTGGGGTCGTGGGGTCGTGGGCGGGCAGGGGTCCACTCACCCCGGCACCAGGTCCGTCTTGTTATGAACTTCCAGCATGGAGTCCAGGAGGGGGGCGGGCAGGCGCAGGCCGTGCAGGCTGGACAGGACACTGGCTTTCTGCAGCTCCGTCTCAGGGTGGGTCACGTCCCTCACGTGGACGATCAGATCCTGAGGCGCAGAAGAGCCACGCGGTGGGGACGGGGAGGCAGGACGGGGCACCGCATGCCCTGGTAGGAGCTCCCTGACACCACCGCTGGGCCGTGGTGCTGGGTCCCACCCCGGACAGGCCGCTCGCCTGCACCCGGCCCAGGGCCCTGGGCTTCTCAGGCGTCTCAAAGCCCACAGGGTCCCGCTCTACACCTGCACGCTCACTGGGAAACTTCCAGACTCTCGCTTACTTTGAACCTTGAAGAACCCCATTTGGCTGATTTTAAATGGTGCACAGGCAGGGATCCGACACGTTACTGGGAAAACGCACAAGGGGAAAGGGTAAGAATTGCTTGTGATTCTGCCCCTGGAAACAGAGGGACCGACCGCTTACGTTCTGCAACGTTTGCTCCCAGGTTTTCGAGGCACTTGAAATTAAGAAAAAGATAAGCATTTTATTCCAGAAACGTTTGGTTTTGGAAAAGGCGAACAGGGAGGCAGGGACCACCACCACGACTGTTCCCGGGAGCACAGGCCACGGGCAAGGGGTGACACCAGCATGTTCCTGTCTTTCCAGAGTCACGCATCTCTTCCTTTCTGTCCTGGGACGCCAGACAGGACACGTGTCACGTCCGTCTGTCACCTCTCCTGGGTCCTCTGAACCCTGACCGCGTTCAGCACGTGTGGGCATTTTGTGGGACGCCTTTCAGTTGGCGTTTGGTTCTTTCCTCATGCTGACACTAGGTTGGGGTTTTGGTGGACGCCCCAACAGCACGTGCCGTTGCATCCCATCACCCCAAAGCTGCACACAAAGGCTGACCCGAGGGCCAAGGGGCAGGAGTCCCAGGTCTCCCTGCAGAAGGGCTCTACCTCCCTGCAGAAGGGCTCTACCTCCCTGCAGAAGGGCTCTACCTCCTTGGAAGAGGTCACTAGGAAGACCTCGCTGCCAGGGGGAGTGAGGCGCCAGTTTCCGGAGGGGGAAGGGACAGGAGTCCCTGGGGTTGTCACATGTGAGACCTGGGCTCTGGGTTGTGCTGTGCATGAGGGTAACCCAGGCCCTAGCGCTGCAACACGTATGACAGAATCTGGTCCCCACGTTGTGTCATGAGTGAGAGGATCCGGCCCCCAGGGCTGGGCTGTGAGCGATGGGACCTGATCCCTGCGTTGCGTTGTGTGTGACGGGCCCCGGGCCCCAGGGCTGTGTCATGGGTGAGGAGACCCAGCCTCTGGGCTGTGTCATGGGTGAGGGGTCCGGTCCTCAGACTGTGCTGTGTGTGAGGGAACCCGGTCTCAGGGTTGTGTTGTGAATGAGAAGACCTAGGCCCTGGGTTGTGTTGTGTACGAGAGGCTCTGGACCCCTTGTTGTGCCACGAGTGAGGGAATCTGGTCCATGGGTTGTGTCATGTGCGAGGGGACCTGTGCCCCATGCTGCGTCATGTGTGAGGGGACCCAGCCCCCCTGTTGTGTCATGTGTGAGGGGTCCAGTCCCCAGGGTTGTGTTGTGTATGAGGGGACCTGGCCTCAGGTAATGCTGGTGTTTCGGGGAAGTTGGCCCCTGGGATCATCCCACACTCACTGAACGAGCCACGTCTTCCAGGGTGGCAGAGAAGGAGTCGATGAGGCTGTGGGGCAGCTGGGAGAGGAAGCCAATGGTGTCCATGTAAATGACAGCCATGCGGGAGGGCAGCCACCCAGCATGAGCTGTGACGTCCAGTGTTGCAAACAGCTGATCCCGGGGCTGGACAGTGTCGTCGCCGGTCAGGGCCTTAATCAGCGTGGTTTTTCCTGGAAGGTGGGCCAAAGGGGACACATGCATGACAGGCCCCCTCACACATGCCCCACTGTCTACCGCTGTACCTCGGGAGGTTCCAAGTCGGACCCACATGCCTCTGGCCATGTGGTGGCCACGGTTTGTGAGGTCTCTGAGCTCCTAGGTCTCACTCTGTAGGACTCTTGGGATGCCTTGTGGTTGAGAGGATGCTGCTCCCCATTGTCCATGAGGGTCAGGAGGTCCAGGGCCTGGGGCATGAGAGGCTACCTACAGGACAGCGCTGGGGTAGCCAGGGTGGGGATGTGTGAATGGGAGAGGGGTGGGTGGGCACCCGGGCAGATGAGGGTAATGGTGTAGACACGGGAGTCCTATTTGTATGTGAGTGATACAGGATTGGTGTTCACACAGACGAGGCAGGCGCCCCGTGTGCCAGAGACACAGGGGTATCAGCATATAGAAGAGTGATGGCGGACGCAAGGGGGATGGAGTAGGAATGTGTGCTGTGTGAGAGGGCGGGTGTCTGCGTGGACAGGGCTGATGGTGGAGTGGGGGTGGGTACACTGTGTATTGGGGTGTGTGTCTGCGTAGACAGGGATGATGGTGGAGTGGGGGCAGGTACACTGTGTGTCAGGTCTGGGTAGACGCGATGATGGTGCAGTGGGGGAGGGTACACTCTGTGAGAGGGTGGGTGACTGTGTAGACGGGGATGACGGTAGGGGTGTGTGTGCTGTGTGTCAGGGGTGGGTGTCTGTGTGACGGGTGATGGTGCCGATGGAGTGTGATGGTGTAGACCGGCGGGAGCTGTGCGTGTCCAACGGCCCCCAGAGGGTGTTCCCCCACAGCCTTACCAACAGGTGGACCCGTGTCCGGACCCAGACCTTGCTCGGGGCTAGTCCTCGGACATGGCCGGCAACCGCCGAGGAGCCCTGACCTCAAGGTGCAGCAGGAGGGGACCTGCCTGCCGTGGGGTGACCGGGCACTGTGGACGGACAGGAGGTGCCTGGTTATGGACGCGTCCTGTCGTCCCACGCGCCGGCCGAGCCTCAGGGACCGCAACAGACCCCCATGTAACGCCCATCCACCACGCACCAAGCCCCCGTATTCGCCACCCCACACGGCCGCAGAGAAGTCGCCTGCGTTTCGCACAGCGGTGAACTGTGGTGCCGACAGGGGTCTCCGAAACCAAGGTGCATCCCTGGTGTCCCGTCCCAGGTTTTGTGGCAAGTTCCCTCTCTCCTCGGACGGGGACCGCCAGCTCCTTGAGGACAGGGGGTGGTGGCGTCACAGGGGTCTTCCGGCCACGCACGGGGACCGGACCTTAGGGCGGCTCACGCTTGCGGGGCGAGTCTCGAGGGTGAGGAAGTGAGCCTGCCGTGCTCGCCCTGTGTGGGAGGGTCCCTGTGAGCCCAGGGCCTCAGCACGAAGGAAACCCGAGGGCCGACACCCTGCCCGCGACCGCGCTAAGCCCACACGCGAACGGAGCCATGAGACGTGCCGTGATGTCTCATCGGTCGCAACCCAGATGGCTCTCCGTCTTCTACGGGCAGGTCTACCGGGAATGAGCTTAAAAACGTCTTGGTTTCTTTTCTATCACTGAGTTTACAACGCCCCGGTAAGGGACAGCAGCCCTGTCCACCGTCCAGCGCTCGACGACCACACCCATGACTTGGCAGGGTGCGGGCCGTGGGCTCTGTGACCCTCCTGAGGACGGCAGCCCTGCTTTCCACCTGTGCTCACGGGTCGGCCCTCCGAGTGCCACAGTCTCGGTGCATTTCTGACGGATTCTCCCCAAACACACGGGCCCGGCACAGGGGTATGGGGTGAGAAGGCAGCGCGGACCCCACTTCTCACGCCCGGAGGGGCTCTCACCGCAGTTGGTGTACCCCACCACGGCGATCACCGGGAACTCCTGCCGCCTCCGCTGCCTCCCCAGGAGACGCCGTTTCTGCCTCAGTCTCTCCAGGGCCTTCCGGATCTTCATTTCCTTTTCCTTCAAGAGGCGCTGCTGCACCTGCATGAAGGATTCTCCTAGAGACGCCAGAGATCGCGCGTCAGTGCGCGGAGGAGGCAGCAAAGACGTCCGAGCAAAAAGTGCCACCGAGGTCCCTGTGCGGGACGTGGACCGGGATCTTCTCACTGGGATCCCCCTAGCCTGCTCTACCACGAGGCCACTGCCTCAACGCCTTCCCACCTGCAAGACGGCTTTGTGCAGCAGAAGGTGGTCTTGCCCATGGCCTTCTGCCCTCTCACATCAGCTGCGGGAGGAACGGGGAGCCTTGCAAGGACAGCCCCATGACATCCACAGCCGACCTGAGAGGTGCCCGTAAAGACACATCCACGTCCTGACCCCCAGGACCTGGGAACGGGACCCCGTTTCGGAATAGGGTCTTGGCACATACAACCAGTGGAGGATCTGAGATGGGCTCATCCTAGATGAGGGGGGCCTAAATCAAAACATAAACGTCCACATAAAAGATGGAAGGAGACAGAGAGGAGAAGCCACGTAAGGACAGAGGCAGAGATGGGGGGGACGTGGTGATCAGCCCAGGGATGCTGGAGCCCCAGAAGCTGGAAGAGGCAGGAAGGAGCAACTCCTAGAGCCTCAGGAGAGAGCACAGCCCTGCGCCACCTGGATCTCCACATCCTTGTCCTTCCTGGATCTCACCATCCCTGTCCCACCTGAATGTCAGCCTCTCTGCCCTTCCTGGATCTCAGTGGCCCTGCCCTGCCTGCATCTCAGCATCCCTGTCCCGCCTGGATCTTAGTATCTGCCGCACCTGGGTCTCAGACTCTGCTCTCCGAAGCTGGGAGGGTAGATTCCTGTGGCTTTTAAGCCCCCGGTTTGTGGTCCTTTGTTCCAGCTGCCACCGGAGACGGCCTACGTATCTCAGTTTGTGTGAAGAGGACACACAAGAGGCCCACATGCCGCCCTTGCCCCACTGGATCTTTCAGTAACGTTGTCCTCTTCCCTAGGGGTGGCTGCTGGGACATGCCCCCCGCCCCGCCCCAGCACCCTGTGACAAGACCTCACACGTTACCTGACCCCATGATATAGCGTGAGCCCCGTCCTTGTCCATCCGGGTGGGCAGTGCTGCTTTTCAGGTGGGACCTGCCGTGGGAAGGGGGCATCTCAGCCGACAGGAACGGAAACACACGCCCATCCAGTGCGAGCACGGCAGGTGCCAACATGGAGACGTGAGGACAAGAACTCTGGGTGCAGAGACCAGGGCGAGGTAGTCCTCCCTCCTGCCCAGGCCGTCACACCGCGGACGGAGGGCCCCACAGGGGGGTGATGGGCCTACCAGGGGGACGTGTCCTGGCACACATGCTGCTTGGGCACGGCACCTGACAAGCAGCTGTCCGGGAGGGCGTGGCCAGCCCCGCACTCTGTCCTGGCCACGCTCCAGGTGGCGGTCGAGTCCGACATACAACCGCCAGAAGAGGGTCTGGGGTAAGCTGCGACTGCTGGCGGAGTGCCAGGTACCTGAGAAGGGGCAGCTCAGCCAGTGCCACCTGCAGCCGCGCCTCCTTGGTCCGGGCGTTGCAGCGGAAAATGTGAAGGACCACCGTGAACCGGTCGAACACCGGCACGCCCCAGCTGGCTTCCAGTTCCTTCTGCAAAGGGAGAGGGAGGGAGGGAAGACGTCTGTGGTGGCACCTCGGGTGAAGGGGGCGGATGGGACGCTGGCTGCGGTCCGGTACCCTCAGCTGTCCTGTCCCAGGGGGATGCTGACCCAACACCCCCAGTGCACCGGCGTGGGAAACACAGAGGGGCTCCCGCATACCTTGGTAGGCGTGGCCAGCCTCTCCACGTTCAGAAAGACCGCCGTGATTTCTGGCGACCCTCTGATTTTCTCTGGGGAGGAGAGAAGGCCCCATTGGATGTCTGTGCGCCGTGCAGTCCATCGTGGGACTGACCCTGAGCCTTGGCTGGCCGGGTCCGCCAGACAGCCTCAAGTCTCTGGGCATACGTTAGGGAAGTCAGGTGTGCGGGATGGGGGTCAAGGGGAGGACTGGGCTCCCCCTGCAGGGGTGTGGGTCTTGCAGAAACATGGCAGGTGCATAACCCCATGGGGACTAAACGGGTCTAAGACCTCAGGGTGACGGAAGTGGACGGTGCACAGCCCTCTGGGCATATGTGCTGAGCTTGCTGATCTGTGCTGTGAGCTGGATGTCAGCGGGGGCTGCAGACCCTCGGGGTTCGGTGGAAACAGAGTTCACACCCAGCACGCTGTGTGGAGGCAGAGATAGGCCGGGGACCTCGGGGCCGGTGTCCACCCTACTCCGAATGGCCCCAGTGGCACCACTGGGCACAAAGCAAATTGTGAGAGAGGCACGGTGGGCTTCTCAATGTGTGATCCAAGTTCCCATGAGGACGCCTCTATAGGGCCCAGGTGAGAGCCCGTCTGTCGCTCTGCTTCTCTCAGGAAGGGAGGGGCGCAGGGACCCACCTGTCAGGTGCTCCAAAGTCCCTTTGCCGAAGATGAGCTTTCCATCGGGTGTTTTGGTGGGCACCACCATCCTTTCCACCACCGACCAGCCATCCAGTGTGTGGACCAGTGCTTCTGCTTCTGCCACCTGCCACTCAGCTTTCAGGAGACACAGGGCCAGAGTGAGGGACACGTCCCCATGGGCTCGGCCCTGGGCCCCGTCCAGCCCTGCCTTGCCTGCCCGGCCCATGTCCCTTGGCTGGGATGGCTTCCTGCAGCATGCACAGCGGTCGTGAGAAAGCACCCCCGTACCCATTTGTTCCAAGACACAGCGATGCTGTTCCAGCCACAGACAGCGAGAAGGGGAGGATGAGGCCAGGGGAATGCAAGGACGGGTCCTCCTAATGTGGTAACTGGGGACTTGGCAGCAAACGGGAGGCCTCCATGGTCTGGCGCGCCCCAGCACACAGCATATCTTGCATGGAGCCCCTGAGGGCCCAGGGAACATGTTGCATTCCCCACAGGGTGGGCTGTGAGCCCTGTGGACAAGGAGTGGGTGTCCCTGGACTCCCGTGCCAATGCTACACAGGAAAGATAGCAAACAGCCACCCAGGACGGACAGGATGATGTATGGGGCCTTGGTGCCAGCCTGTGCAGGAGGGGGCCTGGGGAAAGTTCAGCGAGCATCCCAGACAGGGGGCTGGGCTCCCAAGGAGGGGCCGGTCCCAGGAGCTGAGGGCGTGGGGAACTGGGGCCTCAGGCGGGAGGCTTGTCCTGACAGCATTCCCAAGCAGGGAGGCAGCACAGGGCACTCCTGAGACACTGCGCTCTCCCGACCGCCCCACAGGGCGACCCTGTGCCCTTCCCCACAGCACAATGTCCCAGAGGAGCCGTCTCTTCCGGACACGCACCCCGTGCTCATTGTCCCCACTCCAGTGACCAGGTGCTGAGAGCTCTGGGCCAATTTTAGGTCCCCGAATTGTCTGCAGAGCTCAGGCACAGGGAGGAAACTGAGCCCGGCGTGGCGGGGTGCGGGGTCCATGATGAGGCTGGGGTGGGGGGATCCAAAGTCCTGCGGAGAAGCTGCACGCTCTGCTTGGTGGGGGACGGGGTGCCCCATCCCCTGAGGGACGCACGGTCTCCTCAGCTCTGACTCCTGAAGGGGAACGTGAGTCCTCCGCTCCGCCACCCTTCCGGTGCTCTGATCAGGGGCACGGGGCCAGCCCCAGCTTCCCTCCTTCAACGTCACACGTCGCCCATCAGCAAAACCCCCAGGCACTGTCTTTCGCCACCTCCCCGGTTGGGCCATGTCCCCCCACTGCATCGCGGATTGGCTTCCCACAACCCTCTGCTGGGGTCCTGAGACTTCCGGGAGTGCCTGCGGCCAGCACCTGGGGGTGTGGTCCAATTGCCACGTGGAGCCACCCAAGCCCAGGGCTGGGTGCCCACCTGGTGGGAGCGAGTGGCGAGAAGCAGTGTGTGCAGTCCACGGTTCTGACGCAGGGCCTCACGCACGACGGGCACTACGGACCGCGTCCCCTGCCCACACGGTCCCAGGAACGGGTTCTGCAATGCAGAAGCTGGGCAGGGAGCCTGCTTCTTCCTCTGACTCTGCCGCTCCCCCTGCTTGTGGTTTCTCTGTCCCTGACTAATAAACAAACCAACTTTGGAAAATCCCACTACGATCCGAACCGCGCCGGCTCTAGCGGATTAAGCAGAAAGCGCGCCAGAACAGAGGGCAGCGTAGCAGACAGACGGAAAGCCCGAGAAAGAACGGAATGCAAAGGTGAGCGGTCGGAACCGCTCCAACGGAAGTGAAGAACTCCTGGGATGGGCCTGTGAGCGGCCGGGCAAGGCCGAGGCACGACCCCCCGGCGTGCGGATGGGACGGCAGTGACAGCTGCAACGTGTGCCCTGGGAACGGCATTGAGAGCAGGAAGAGTCAGGCTGTGGACTGGACTGAAACTTTCCTAAACCAGCTGAGAAAGGAACGCTCTCCATGGCGCACAAAGAACGCCGGAGAGTCCGCGGCAGGGAAAGAGCGTGATGACACGATGGTCTGCAGACCCAACACACACCCCCCAGAGCGCACGGGGCGGCAAACGCCAGTCCGTGGGCTGCGCCATCTCTCATCGGGGGAAAACGGGCAAACTCCTAGGAGATCCTGGTACGCACTGATCAGACGGGCCCCAGATGCATCAGGGGGCCAGCACCTAACGCGGGTGACGGCAGGAGCAGTGAGATCTGTCGTCACCGCTGGCGGGAAGGCAAGCGGCGCAGCCCCTTGGAAAGCAGTTTGAGGCATCTGTCGTCAGTCGTCTCTCTGGCAGAGACACGGACAGAGAGAGAGACAGCAGGAGAGACACGGACAGAGAGAGAACGAGCGAGCAGGAGGACAGGCGGAGGGAGAAGCAGACTCCCTCCCTACTGGGCAGGGAGCCCAGGCCGGACCAATCCCAGGACCCCAGGATCATGACCTGAGCTGAAGGCAGGTGCGTCCCCGACGGAGCCCCCGGGCGCACCCAGACAACGGGATATCATCAGCACCGAACACAAAGCAGCGGTCGAGCCACAGCAGGTCACACACGACCCTGGGGTGCACGCTGAGCGAAAAGAGCCGGTCTGCAAGGCCGCGCACTGCGCGATTCTAGCACATGCTGGAGAGGGAAGACCACACACGGGGCAGATACGGGGATGGGGGGGTGGAGGACTGATTCCACCGCCCAGCGCGGGTTTGCAGGGGCGGAGGGGAGCGGTTTCACTGGGGCGCTCCGAGTCTCCCCCCCGAGAGCACCTGCCCTGGAACCCCGCCCCTGAGTCTCCACCCCTCCCGCCGCAGTCCCGCCTCTAAGTCCCGGGCCCCGCCCCCAGGGTCCCTCCTTGAGCGACACTCTCGGAGCTCAGCCCCGCCTAGTCCCCGCCCCGACCACCAGCACTCGAAGCCCCGCCCCCCGAAAGGCCCGCCTCTCAGCATCCCCGGCAACTTCCCCTGCGCCAGAACTCGAAGCCCCGCCCCCGACACGCCCCACTGAGTACCCCGACCCGCCCCAAGGTCCCTCGACTACCCTCGGAGCGACCCCTCCCAGTCCCCGCCCCGAGCACCAGCACTCGGAGCCCCGCCCCCTATGAGTCTCCACCCCGGAAGTCCCGCCTCTCAGTGTCCCCGGCCCCTTCCCCACCTCCAGCACTCGGAGCCCCGCCCCCTCCGAGTCTCCACCCCGGAAGCCCCGCCTCTCAGTGTCCCTGACCCCGACCCCGGCCGCGGTACCGCTCCGGGTCACCTCCGGTCAGCTGCTGCTTCCGCGGTCCCCGCTTGACCTCAGGGTGAATCAGACACACGCGCTGGGTCTCCGCTGGCAGCAAAGGGTCCCTCCTCAGTAGCTCCTCCTCCTCCTCTTTCTCCTCCGCATCTTCTGGCTCCTCCTCCTCCTCTCCCGTTCGGCTGCTCGGGCCGTCAGCCCGTGGGCCCCGTCCTCCACCTCCTGGGCCCTTGAGTCCCCCGGGGCCGAAGGCGGCGAGCGCGCGATCCGGCAAGGCCGGCAGCGACGGCGCAGCTCTCGGGGCCCCGCGGCCGCGAACCACACGGGAGACCCAGGCCCCTGAGCGGACGGCGGCCCGCAGGGCCCACATCCCGCCTTTTGCCGCACGCAAAGAGGCGGGACCTCGGGGGGGTGGGGCTTCCGTGCGAGCTCCCCATTGGCCGCCGCCTCCTGATGGACGTTCGCGGGCGCTGGGGGGCGGGACGCCGCCGGCCCCGACGAGCTTCACTTCTGCGGGTCCTGCTCTCCGGAGACCCGAGACCAGGTAGCGCGGCCAGCGGGGGCGGGCGCTTCCCACCACGCGTCCCCCTCCGCGGCCTTCGCCCGCCGTTGGAGTCTGGTCCTGGAAGTCCACTACCGTCCCCGGGGGTCTGAGCCCTGCGTGGGGGTCCGAGTGCTGCCTCGGAGGTGACAACACAGTCGTGGGGGTCCGAGTGCTGCCCCGGGGGTCGGAACCCTGCGTGGGGGTCCGAGTAGAGCCCCGGAGGTCAGAACACTGTCGTGGGGGTCCGAGTGCTGCCCTGGGGATCAGAGCCCTGCGTGGGGGTCCGAGTGTTCTCCAGGGGTTCTGAACCCTGTAGTAAGGGTCCGACTGCTACCCCGGAGGTCAGAGCCCTCCGTGGGGGGGTCAGGATGCTGCCCCGGTGGTCAGAGCCCTGCGTGGGGGTTCGAGTGCTACCCGGAGGTCAGAACCCTACTTGGAGGTCCGACTGCTACCCCGGAGGTCAGAACCCTGCTTGGGGGTCTGACTGTTACCCCGGGGGTCAGAACCCTGCTTGGGGTCCCACGGCTAC